CTATGCAATAACACTTTCGTTGTTTGTCTCTAAACAACAGTTAGATCAAGGAAACCACTGAAATAATCCTATGACTATCATGTGTCTAATGAGGGCATCACTATAGTAGGCTGTACTAATATGGCAACGCATGGGTTCTGAAATGTCTGTGTAATTACTGTCATTGTAATGTGACAGATCTGTACTGTAGATCAGTGCTTCTCAAGCTATCTGATGTGGGGGACCGGCAATTTTTTTCCCCAATGTGCATGCAGACCAGCAGCTGATGGCTCGCAGACCGGCACCGGTCCGCGGACCACCACTTTGAGTAGCACTGCTGTAGATCTCACTGTTATAGATGAGCATATATGCTTCTGTTCCTTTAGTGCATCCATGGCTATTTTTTTTTTTACTATCTCTGGTGCTGTTTAAAATAGCCCTGCAATGTTTCCAAGGAATATAATAAAATACAGTGCGTCAGTTTTGGTGAGAGCTAATCTACAGGTGATTTGATCCAGGAAAGTGAGACCGTTTTCAGACACTAGTTTGGGAAAAAAGAAAAGGAGTACTTGTGGCACCTTAGAGACTAACCAATTTATTTGAGCATAAGCTTTCGTGAGCTACAGCTCACTAAACCATTCATAATATGGGCTATCCCTGCAGCATCTCCCCTCTCCACTAGATGTCAGTACAAGCCACTTCCTTTCAGCAGGGGAATCTCTCAATCCTTTATTTCACTTAGTTACATCTTGTTAAACATAATTATCCTTGGACTTTAATCCCAGAGTGCAACCATTTCTAACCAGAGCCATCATGGTAAATAGCTGAGACCGTTCTGCAATGCATGATACTGAGGAAGCAGAGTAGAACACTTAAGAGGATGAGATATCTGTAGTTGTTGCATGCAGACCGTTTGGGCTGTCTGCAATGCAGCACCGTCTCTAAGAGATGTGACCAGATTGATTTCAAGTTAGTGCAGCGTACGCTCTCCTTGCAATGTGTTCATCTCCCCATTAGATGTCGCTCCTGTCAATTCTGTACAGGAATATCTGTTACATGGCCGCAGGGCTGTCGGCAAGAGACACAGACTGTAAGTTGTTACAGCGTTGGCTAGACGTGTCTGTGCAATGATCCTCTCCCATGAGAACTGACTGGGGGTTACATTTAGTCAGTGCAGTGTTATGGCTAAACATTCCTTACATGTCTGTCCTTACATCAATAGCAGTTTTATTTAATAAACCTGAAGAGTCCCTGCAGCTGCATGCAGTCTGAACTCAATCTGAACCTCTACCCCAATATAACGCAGTCCTCGGGAGCCAAAAAAATCTTACCGTGTTATATCGAACTTGCTTTGGCCTTGAGCATTTCCATTATTAATACAGTATTTGACACAAGAAGTTTTATTTTTGGTGGTGTTTGAGAAAGGGTACATCTGATGTCATCCTTCACATCAAGCCCAGGGTCGGGGCTCGCTGCCACCCGCCCCTGTCCGGGTCGGGGCTCACAGCCCAGTGCAAGGGTTGGGGCTCATAGCCCTGCACCTCCACACAGTGGCTGGGGCTCGCAGCCATGCATCGCGGTTGGGGCTCACAGCCTAGCGCAGGGGTCGGGGCTCGCAACTTGCAGCCGTGCGCTGGGGTCGGGGCTCACAACCCCCCACATAATCAGGTTGCGACCCCCCGAGGGGTCGTGACCCCCAGTTTGAGAACCAATGTTGTAGACGAGACAGAAAACCATTTTTGCTTTACTGTGTTATATCCAAATTTGTGTTATATCGGATCGCGTTATATCGAGGTAGAGGTGTATATAAATGTGTCAGTAAAATAGTGTCATGCAGACTGTGGCTAAATATAGATATAAATACTAAGTGAGTGAATAAAGCTATATCTGTGTTGTCCAACCTTTTGCATGGGAGGGCTGAGCATATTATTTCAAAAACACCAGTGGGCCACAATCAGTACGTAGGGGCAGATTCTCTCTACTGTTCCATCTCCTGGGTGCTGCCTGTGTGGAAAATACATGCAGGTCCAATGCTAGGGATTCCACCAGCATGCAGGTTTCATGAGGACAGGAACGGGGAGTAACTAAACCATGTTGTGTTCTGGCTATCCCCAGCTGGTTTATGGTCTGTAAGGAACTGCTGCCAGCTGCCGTAAGTTAAAACAGCCTCTGGACTGCTCTAACTTGGACTGGCGTGAAGAATCAGGGAGCTGTAACTGATTGTTGGTTCTCATCTTCTCCACTCTTGGGCTCCCCGGGTGACTGTAGGCAGTGCTCCCCTTGTCTTCAGTAGACCCAAATGATCTCCAATCTTGCTTGTCCTGGGGCTTCCACAGTCCAGCAGGAAAGCGGACAATGGAGCAGTCAGAGCTATGCTCCTTCCTCTGTGATGCAACAGGCAGCCAGCAGAGATGTCCTTGCAACCATAATTCCACTTTTTCTGCATATGTATTGAAAGTCTTTCATTACATGAAGAAAAGGAGTACTTGTGGCACCTTAGAGACTAGCCAATTTATTTGAGCATGAGCTTTCGTGAGCTACAGCTCACTTCATCGGAAGCTCATGCTCAAATAAATTGGTTAGTCTCTAAGGTGCCACAAGTACTCCTTTTCTTTTTGCGAATACAGACTAACACGGCTGTTACTCTGAAACCTTTCATTACATGAATAACCCTGGGAATCAGGGGAAGTCTATACGTACTCATATGGGGACAGATCCTTGGCTGTGCCAAGGAAGGGGCTGGCTTTACATGTCACTCCAACATAAAGTAGAGTAGTCGGAGGACAGGAAGGGGGAATAGTTAGATATCTACATTTATGCTGGCTCACAACAGTCCATAGAGACACTCTGGCAGTCAGGAATCACTAGAGAGAGCATAGGGTGCTGGGCCAAGTCCCCTATATTGAGCCTGGTAAGAAGAGTAGCATGGGAGCCTCTATTGTAGTGCTATATTCTCTGAGGACTTCCCCATGCTAGAAAATCCTCAACCGGCTCTTTAAACCACGTTAAAGTATGTGTTGCAAGGAATTATATGAGATTAGCACTTTATTGTAACAGAGAGCAGAATTTGGCCCAGCCCCGGAGCACCCACGGAGTTGGCACCTATGGGTACATCAATTCATCTAGATATTTATCTAGTTTTACAACAGACTACATAAAAAGCACTAGCCAAGTCAGTACAAACTAAAATTTCACACAGACGATGACTTTATACTGCTTTATATACTATACACTGAAATGTGAGTACAATATGTATTTACATTCCAGTTGATTTATTTTATAATTATAGGGTAAAAAAGAGAAAGTAAGCAATTTATCAGTAACAGTATGCTGTGATACTTTTGTACTTTTATGTCTGATTTTGTAAATAAGTAGGTTTTAAGTAAGGTGAAACTTTGTGTGTGCAAGACAAACCAGACTCCTGAAAGGGGTGCAGTAGTCTGGAAAGGCAGAGAAAAGCCAAGGGTGAGCTGACCACTCAGACACCTTAACTTCCACTGGGGCTGGCTGACAGTGCCTGGAGGAGCTGTAATTTGCCTCTGATCTCTGACTTTCCCCTAGTACTGAGCTTAGTTCAGGAGGGCTTCAGAGTCTAGCCTAGTATTTGACCACCTACACGGTAACCCACGAAGGGCAAACGGGATCTCTCGCTGAGAGGAGCCCCTCCCCAAATCTTCACCCTGCAGAGCTGCTCATCAATAAACATGTAAAAGAAAAGTATCGGGGTAGCTGTGTTAGTCTGTATCCACAAAAACAACAAGGAGTCCGGTGGCACCTCAAAGACTAAGAGATTTATTTGGATATAAGCTTTCGTGGGTAAAAAACCTTCAGATGCATGGAATGAAAATTATCTGAAGATGTGGGGTAATTTTCACTCCATGCATCTGAAGAAGTGTTTTTTTACCCACGAAAGCTTATGCCCAAATAAATCTGTTAGTCTTTAAGATGCTACCGGACTCCTTGTTTATAAAAAAAAAACAGGAGTACTTGTGGCACCTTAGAGACTAACCAATTTATTTGAGCATAAGCTTTCATGAGCTACAGCTCACTTCATTCCACTGCATGCATCCGACGAAGTGAGCTGTAGCTTAGGAAAGCTTATGCTCAAATAAATTGGTTAGTCTCTAAGGTGCCACAAGTCCTCCTTTTCTTTTTGCGGATACAGACTAACACGGCTGCTACTCTGAAACTTGTTTATGTAAAAGAAAAATTCATCAAGAGTATGAAAAAATGTTTACCTGCTTTAGTGATGCCAAAGTTTAACTCCCCCCCAGCTTCCCCACTCCCTGCTGTGCAATGGGGCAGAATCCCCCCCCCCCATTAACCACACACCCGGGATGGTCGAGCTGGGGCGCGGGGGAGCCATGCACACCCGGGTCAGAGCCTTTTCTTAGAGCGGGTGAAGGCAGGTTCCTCACACGCCCGGGAATCACTCAAGGCGCTGAGGGCGGACCCGTGCCAGCAGGCCGGGGGAGCGCTGGGTGCACCCCGGCCCCGCTGCCGCTCGTCGGGGTGCACAGGGCGCTCCGTGCGGGGAGCAGGCTCCACCTGCGGAGCCGCAGCGCACGTGGGCTCCGGCGCCCTGGCTGGCTAGGGCCACTCGGCGCAGCCATTACCTCCCCCCACCATTCCTGCCTGTCATTTGGCTGCGGCGCTCCTCATGCTTGCAGAGCAGCCCTCTCCCCGCTAGAGGGCGCCGCTGGCTCCCCTTCCCCGCCCGCGCAGCCAACGAGCGTGGGAGAGAGCGGCAGATAAGCAGGACCGGGCGGCACGAGGTGTTTTTTTTTTTTTGGCCCGCTTTCCAGACGGTCACGTGCCTAGGAGTCCTCTCGGCGGTGGCGGCTGCGCTGCACGCGACTTCTCAGGGGCGCGCGCCGCTAGGGGGAGCCCTGCGTGGCCGGCGCGAGGCTTGTTGACCGTGCGGCGGTTGGTGGCGCGAGACTCTCTCGCGCCCTGTGTGACGCGTTCACAGGAAGAAGGGGGTGGGCGGGAGGAGCTGGGGACACCGAGAGGCGCGGGCCGGGGCTGTCTGAGAGGAGAGGAGCGAAGCGAAGCGAAGCGGGCGGGAGGGGGAGCGCGATGTGAAGCCCCTACACGGCCCGGCCGGGCAGGCGCCGCCGCCTGGGAATGCGCGTCTGGCAGACGCGGCGACAGGTGAGCCGCGGGGCGGCTGAGCGAGCGGGCCCCTTCCCCGCGCGGTGCATTCCGGCCCCATGAGCGCCCAGCGCGTGGAGAGGCGGCCGGGCCCGCGGCCTGCCCCCAACTGCCAGTGACTCCGGCGCGGCCCGCGCGCGCGCCCGCCCGCAGCAGCTGCAGGAGGCGGGTGCGGGGCCGCGTAACCGCCCCGCAGTTGCCCGCGCGGGGAGGGGTCGGCGGGGGAGGGGCGCGCGAGCTGCAACTTGGTCGGGCGTGCTGCTGCTGCTGTGAAACCTGCCTGTCTGGGTCACGCAGACCCCCCACCTTGCACCCGTCCGTGTCACATGGGGCCTCTGCCTCAGACACAACACTGGCCAGGGCAGAGCCGGAGTGGTGCAGCCCGGCTAGCGCCCGGATGCCAGCACAGGGGCAGTGCGGGGAGGAGGAGAAGAGCCCGTGGCATGGGCTAGCCACCCCCGTTCCGCAGCACCCACGCGTCCGGGCCCCGAGCGAGAGCAGCGTGCCTCTGTCTGCGGCTTCCCAGCCTGCCCGTCCCGGCGATGAGCCTGTGTAAGTGTGGCATAGCTGGAAGGAAGGGGTCTGCCTGTGGGAATGCAGGCTCGCAGTGTGTCCGTACGCGCTCGGTGTGTTTCCTGACGCCACTCTCCCCCGCTCACCGTGCTGCCTTGTTTTGCTACCGCCTTAGCAGTGAATCGACCCAGGATAGTAAGCAACAGCTGATGAGAAAAAATGCGCATTGTTACTCTTAAATGGGGAGGGGGGGGGTTGTGGAAGCTAAGAGTGGTCAGTGCTGAGCGTCTAGGTTTGTTGACATAAATCGGACACTGCAAGATTTCATCGTTTTTAGTGTGTTGCTGCGCATGTCTAAAATACTACCAAATAATGAAAGATAAAAGATTCTTTGAGTGTGTTTGTAGATAAGATACAGATGTTTGTTCTTGAAGCACTTTTCCTTTCCTTTTTACTTTGTGTGTCGATTTAAGAGACAGGTCTAATGTGAAAATTCAATTGCATAGTACAAAAAAGCAGGAGACTATTGATAGTAGTTATGCTGTCCAAAATGTGTAGAAAAATAAGCTCATGTAGAGGTGGTTTAATTACCAGTAGCTGCCAGAGGTCATAGTTAACATAGAACTATTCCAGAGACAAGTCTATTAAGAGTCAAGATAATTAACATACAAATGCAAAATCTCTGCAGACCTCTTCCTTTGCTATCTTGTCTCAAGTGTGTTGTTAGTGGCCCCACATCACACTGGTCTTTTGTTCCATCCCTTTCTTTCACTGGCTTATTTGACTGAATCTCTTAACTTGTTAGTGAATAATTCCTCCCTGTCAAATTGGAGGTCATTGGTAGGGCAGCATTAGGAAACAAACTCCTTACAGTACCTGCCTTGTTCTTGGCTTGTGAATAATTAAAGATTCTTAACTACTTTGCACATGTATGTTTTTAAGCTGTAAGAATTCAGGTAACAAAAAATGGTTTATTTAGAGCCCTTGTAGTAAAATGTCTGTCTTCTTGCGGATAGAACATTTGTCTTCAATGTTATTCAGTAGATCGCTATTCCCTGCATTATTGGTCAAATATAGTAGTGATCAGGGCTTTCTGGATGGTCTATTTAATTTTTCCTTCCCATTGACCAATGAAATATAGATATATTGTGGGGCATAACACTGTGTCTCTGGGCACTGGGCTTCAGGCTATCTTGCTGCTGACTCCCTTGACCTAGAAGGTACTGGTCTAGAGAAGTGTCATGTCAGATTTTTCATCTGGCTACTGTTTCAGCTACTCTAAGGAACAAATATTAAGAGTTAGGCCAATAAGTATAAAAATAGGATTTGCAGCAGGTAGAGAAACTTAGTTACCACAGTGAGGCCCCCCCCTCCAAAAAAAACCCTAAATTCACTTGTCCTCGGCAATTAGTGAAAGATAAATGTGCTTGATCCCACCATACGTTTTCCCAATTTAATCTTTGTTGAATAGTAATAATTTTATGAAGGAGAATATTTTTCCCTCTTTGAATTAGATATTTGCCAAAAAAAAAAAATTAATGACAGATATATTTTCCTTTTTGAGAGCTCCTGACTCCTATTAGCAGTAGTTTTGGGTAGTAGATGTGTAGGGAGGGAACTAAATCTCATAATACTGAAATTTTTCCATTAACGGAATACTATTGGGACCAGTAGGGTGGTAGTTCTGTGCTCTCCAGGCGGAGCAGCAGAATAAGAGGAAAGGGAGCAGAAAAAATGAGAACTGCCATGAATTGTTCAGGGCTGTGAGGGAGAGCAACTTGAATGGAGAAGGCAAGAGGGCAAAGAAATGGCCTGAGCACCATGCAAGGAAGATGACTTTTGTGGGACCCTATGTAAATACATTATATGAGTTGCTCTAGCGTTTTCACTGAAAAAAAATTACGTAGCACTTCCTGTACATCGTTGTGCCTGTCTTCTCCATTTTGGAAAGCAGATAATATTGCAATTGTAAATACTAATATTGTCAGGAATGGAGGATTCTTGTTATGTGCTGCCAGCTATGTTTAAGGATGGTGCATTGGCAATCATCGCGTAGAAACCCAAAATAATAGTGTATGGGCCTGGGGGAGAACTGGTCTTTCCACTTGCCAGCTTCTTCAGGAGCAGGGAATGTACAAGGTAGCTTTAAATTCCATGGATTGTGGAGCACATCCACTATAGGCCTCTGTTCTCAAAACTGACTGAAGAGTGTCACTGCTTTGGAGTTGCACATTGTGGCTATTTGATCTTGGTATATCAATTGGATGAGCTTCACTCTTTCTGATCTAATTGACTTGCTGAGGCAATCCACGGTCATATTGTGGTCACTGCAAAATTTGACTCTGAGGAGGCTCAAAAATAGTGACTTGTGAAACTTAGGGCTTGTCTGCACTTACAGCTGCATTGCTACCTATCCTGATGGAAAAGCTTCTCCTGTTGGGTGTAGGTACGCCACCTCCTCATCAGGTGGTAACTTTGTCCAGAAGCGCTGAGCAATGTAGTTATATCGAAATAAGTTTGTACTGTAGACCGGTGCTTACTTGTTATTCTAAAGTTTTGAGTCTCCCACTTGGTAGTTTATGTATGCCACAGTCCTGAGACTGTAAACCGGACTGCTTCTCTATAAGAAAAGAGAGCTGACTGCACTACTTGGGTTTTTGTGTCTTTGTATGTTCACCATGTCCCCTAACCATTGATATCTGGTCAAATCACAACTCCAGGGGTACTTCCTTATCTGGCTTGTCTGAATTCAGCTACCTTCTTGATTTATGGAGGATAGGAGATTACAGTAATCCTGGCAATGTGGAAACTAATAGCAGATGAAAAAATACTGCATCAGGCACATATTCAAGCATGACCATTTTAGCAGAAACAGAGAGAGACTGCCTTGGATCCCAGAATTTGATGGATCCTGTAAGCACATGCACGCATCCCTCAAGCTTCTACCCAACCTGGGATTGAGGGTATAAACAGCACCACTGCTCCATAATGGTCCCCAGTTCCTTTTCTTACATTTCAGTGAAAGCAAAAAACTTTCCTTTTTAACTTTTTTTTTTTTTTTTTGGTCTTACTGCAATTTGTATTATTAATGATTTTGTTGCGGGGCACAGGAAAGGGAATTAATTTAGAACTTTGGATTATATTCTAGTTGCTGTCAGTGTTGGATCCAGTTTAGAAGAAGATGAACTTTCTCTAAAAATGTTTTTCTTGCACGCACAGTTTTCCTTCCTCAAGTGGTCATGAACAGTGACTTCACTTGGCTATGAACTGTGAGTTGTGCGTGTCTTTTTCCCATTGAGCACAGAAAGATGATCTCTTTTAATGAAAGAGGCTGTCAAATACAGTTTCAAGAAAGTCTCCTTTTAAAGGGGACTGTCCAAGTACTAAAGTGGCTCAGAAAATCATAATGCCAAAGCTGCAGTGGCTTTACAGACTGAAAGGGTTTGCACAAAAGAAAGGTCATTCCATATATCCTCTTCTAAAGAGCACCAGAGACTCTGGGATTTGGGAAGGGTGCAACTGACTTCTTCCTCATGGCTCTGTACCAGGAGGGAGAGCTCTGCTAGCATTTGGGCATGTGGGTTGGTCCATGAGGTCAGTTTCCCTAGAGCCTGGGAGTCCTGCCAAGAAAAGGGCTTCCTCAGATCTGGGCCACTTAGTACTATCTCTGCACATCGACTCTGTGGAATTCATTTGCCTGAACCCTTAAAAATTGAACTCTTAGGACCCTATTGGATGGGTTGGCAGAAGAGGTGGACTGTCCTTTGCACTGAACCCAGAGATACCAAAACTGTTATTCCATCTTAGAAGACTTTGGGAAGAATAAGATACACAGATGGCAGCATGCCTCATAGCGCCAGATGATTGCAAGGTCCTCCTTAAAGATGCCCTGCAAAGATGGATGGTCATTTTGTGCCATTTGGGTGTGATGCATGTTTGTTTGTTTCTGCTGTATTATGTAAAAAGTGTTCTGTAAGATTTGTTTTATCTGTTCGTGTTTTACATTATAAATTTGAGTCACAGTGGTTTTCTTGGACTGGACAGGACGGACAGATAAAACATTAGTAAACATTGAGAGCAGAAGTAAACATGAGTAAATATTGAGAGTAAACATTGAGAGCAGAAGCCATTTTTATTCAGACTATTTAAGGAGATGCTGTTGAGTTACATTTCTGGAATTGTCCAATTTAAAAACTGTTTCTAATAAAGCAGACTTTAAATATTATAAGAATGGCAGTATTGGGCCAGACCAATGATCCATCTAGCTCAGTATCCTGTCTTCTGACAGTGACCAGTGCCAGACGATTCAAAGAGAATGAACAGAACAAGGCAATTATTGTGTGATCCCTCCCTTATCATCTAGTCCCAGATTCTGGCAGTCAGAGGCTTAGGGACACCCAGAGCATGGGGTTGCATTCCTGACCATTAGGGGTGTAAATATCCATTTTAAAAGTTATCCATTTAAAAAATTAAAATGATATATTTTAAACAGTTAACCAATTAAAGAGAAGGGCGAGAGTTGGCTGGTCGGCCGGGGCTGGGAGCTAACGGTTAGGGTTGGGTAATGGGTAAGACTAATGCTTACCGGTTAACTGTTTAACCATTTAGTATTTTACATCCCTACTGACCATTTTGTCTAATACCCACTGATGGACCTATCCTTGAACTTATCTAATTCTTTTTTTGAACCCAGTTATGCTTTTGGCCTTCACACTATCCCCTAGCAACGAGTTCCTGTTGTGCGAAGAAGTACAGTAAACACTTGTCATATTGGTGCCCTTTTTCTGTGTTGCTCGTAAGCAGCTGTTGCTGTTATGGGGAGTGTCATCTGACCAAAGGCCTATGAAGAGTTAAGAGCATTTTGGAAGGGGTGGCTCAGCCATGTTGTGGGAGGGAATTGAGGAGTATGGGGTAGGGGAACCCCAGATTTGGCAGGGGAGCCCCCAGTTGGAAGAATGGCTGAGCAAGCCAGGCTGCCAACAGGCTGAGGATACTCTTGCTGGCAGCTTCATGCTCCACCCTGGTGAGGGAGGGAAGGG